GTTCCATTCAGCCGACTGTTCCTACCTGGGCAAGGTGGTGGAGGCAGCATCTGCTTACGGACATCAGCGTCTCCTGCATGCTGCCCTACAGGCTGTAAGAAAAATCAGGTAAGACCAAGGCCCTAGCCAGCTACTCCCACTCTGGACTGGGGGGTCTCCATCCTTGAAGCTTACCAGTGTAGCTCCCAAGTGGCTGGGCATCTGGGCAGTGGGCAGAGTGGGTCGAGCAGCCCCTTCTCGAAGCCTCATGTCTACCACCCCGCCGAGAGGAGGTTCCTTCCCTGGGAAGTCATTATAGTACTGATGGTCAGGTGGCTCTTCTTCCTCCTCATCCCAAGCTGAGCCATCAAAGCCAGCCATCCTGAGAAGGGAAGGACAGAGTGAGGTGAGTGTACAGATGTGGTGGCCAAGAGACCCAGGAGGGAAGAGAATGGTGAACACATACTAGGCATACACTATGGGTCAGACCTAACACTTGGTGCTGTACTCTTTTAAGGCTGGTATTCCTTCCAAAATTTCAAAAATAGAGATCAGGTGTGGAGAGATTTGCACAAACTGAAGGAGGCAGAGCTGATATTAAATTTGGTTTTAAACCACTCTCACTTCTGACAGGTGTGCTATCTCCTAGGAGGGATGGAAGTGCTAGTGAACCAGGGATATCCAGGACGGTCTGACATAGAGTCCTGATGCTCACGCCGTTTACCACTTCAGACTTGAAAAAAGAAACATAGGGATCTCAGGTCAAAGGTGCTGGGATTCGGGAAATAGCTCAGTGGCTGCAGCGTGAGGCTCAGAATGCAGATCACCAGAACCAGTGTACAAGAATGGTGACCACCCATAGTCTCAGCGGGAGAGGCGGGCAGAGACAGTAGCCAGGATAAACTGGTTGCTGCTAGCTACATCTGGTCAATGAGAGATCCTGGCCTTCAATAAACAAAGTAAGATGCAATAGAGCAAGACATCTGATACCAACTTCAGACCTCTGCGCGCACACACATGCAGGGATATTTGCACAGGCAACATATACCAACACACGTAAACACATAGACACATGCAGGAAAAAAAGGAAATATATCCTCTCAATCTACTTCTTTGTTTGTTTGGTTTTTCGAGACAGGGTTTCTCTGTAACTTTGGAACCTGTCCTGGAACTAACTCTTGTGGACCAGGCTGACCTCGAGCTCACAGAGATCTGCCTGCCTCTGCCTCCCAAGTGCTGGGATTAAAGGCGTGCGCAACCACTGCCAGGCCTAAAACCTAGATTCTTAATGACCTTCAGAGGCAGGAAGCACAGAACAATGAGTGGGTAAGTTTGGTGGCCAAGGGTTAGAACACTGCTGATCTTGCAGGACCCAGGTTTGGTTTCCAGCACTTACACGACAGCTCACAACCACTTTTAATTCCAGTTTCAGGGTATCCAATGCCCTCTTTTGGCTTCCACAGGCACTGTATACACTTACATACATGCAGCAAAACACATACACATAAAATACAAATCTTTAAGGAAATAAAAGTATATAAGAACACAGGAACAGGCTAAAAATGAGGAACCTGAGCCAAAGTCCATCCAGCTAGAAAAGGCAACCTAGAGAGAGGTGCTGGAAATAAGCCCACCATAGGCAAACAAAAGAAAGCAACTGTCCCTGCAGCAGGCTTTCCTGCTGAGCCACTGGAAACCTAACACAGTAGGAAGACTGGGGCAGCGCCACGTAAGTCATTACCTTTCCCGAACCCTCAAGCATGGGAAGAGAAAAGGACTTCCCAATCCCAGCCTGAGGGTCCCAGCTCACCTGTCATGGGGGGTGACCAGTTTGGGTGGATTCCTGAGATACTGTTTGAAGCGCAACTCAAAGGCCTGACCGATGGTGCTGATGACATCCTGAGCGAGCCCTTCAGAGCACTCCAGGATATGGCAGGCTCTCTGATTTACAGGGTCTTTGGCAACGTAGGCAACATACTCGGCTGTGTCCGGATCCCCACCAGACGCGAATGAGATAGATTACATATGATGGTTGGCAATGATCTGTTTGCAGTCGGCTGCCATGAGGTTAAGGCTGCTGGTGGACACAGTGAGGGTGACTGGCATTCCAGCAAACTTCAGGTTACTCCTCCCAAGGATGGAGCTGAGTGGGCGGCTAGAGGGCTTTCTCCTCCTTGTTGCTCCTCTGGCACCAGGCACGGCTTCACACACCAAACTGATGGCCTCCCTGGAGAAACAGGGGTACTCAGACCCACCACTGGCCTCCCATTGCCTGGGGCTGCCACAGAGCTGGGGGAGGGGAAGAGCAGGCCAGACTCCAGAGCACTCCAGGCTCTTTGTCGTGGTGGATTGAATTAAGGGCCTTTAATATTTGATGGCACTGAGGGCGGCTTCCTGGCTGATTGGGTTAGGGCCTCGATGGCTACAGCCCCACCTCTTCCCAGTTACTCAACGTTCCATTCCCTTCCCAAAAGCAGCAGCAACCTCCTACCCCACCTTTCTAATCCAAGTTCCTATAATCTCCGTGCTGGAGCCAAGCTCTCCAGACCAGAGCTGGCTGCTTCCCGTCAGACACACTTCTGTAACTTTGTCTCAATTCTCTTGGCTATCTGATAAGAAGTTGCCACCAGCACCACCACCAAAAGCTCAACTTCCCTCCTCCTCCTGAGACTTTGTAACTTCACCAACCCTAGGACTCCAACAATATACTGGTCTCTCCACTAACCTGGTGACCTGCGTCCGGGTATTGAAGTCAAGGGCTCGCATTGACTGCAGGACCTCCACACAACCCATATACTGTGGGGGAAGGAGGCAAGGATAGATCAGCCGCCCCTCCCCCACCCCACACTCCCCACCCTTTGCAGAAGGTTCTAATACTTTGCCCTGTGTAGTCCCTAAGGGAAAGGTGAAGTACCCTTCCCACTGCCTGGGGCTACCACCCGTAAGTGAAGACGACCACCAAAGAGGTCCTCCGAGCACTATGGAGAGATTGTGCGAGGACCAGCAGGCATTGGGTGGGATGGGGTGACATCTCTGGAAAAGGGAGGAGTCTAGGGGTAAGAATCAAGAAGTCATTTTTCATTAATACTTACTAAAAGTCTCGTATGGGTTTAGGCATTGTGTAGGCTGGAGGGTAGGGGTCAATGGAGGAAAGGGGACCTGGGCACAAGATTCCCAGGCTAGCACAGAAAGACATGAAGCTGGAGAAGGGGTGGAGGTGGTGGGTTTAAGAACGAGGCGAGCAGCACACATGTTGGGGGAAGAGCAGGAAGTCCCAGCAAATCTGGAGTGAGCAGAGGAACTGGACGGGTGTATGGGAGGGGTGGAAAAGAGGATGTTCACTCACCCGAACCAAGTAGGAAACCCCAGGTCCCATGACTTTGTCGTTGGGATGCAGCCAGCCTCGTGTGGGCTTATTGACAAAGCTCCCGTGTCTGGTCCACTCCTCGCCCCCCAGCTGGCCCCCTTCTACTCGAGTCCTGCGCCCGCCGCCTCCACTCAGCTTGTTCATGTCCTGGAGGAGGGGCAAGAGGCCTGAGTCCCGAAGAGCTGCCCCTGCATTCCCTTCCCCATCTTCAGCAGCCTTTCCTGGCTCCCCCTTAGGCCCCAGGTGCCCCCCAGCAGGATTGGCCAGCTTCAGGTTGCTCATCCGGGGAAAGAAGGAACACAGGGTAGTCGGACTATCGTCCCCCGGCAGAGGAGGCAGAATGGGTCCCAGGGATGAGGTTGATGGGGAAGGCAGCTCTTCTGTGGGGGTACACCCTGAAGCCCCCTCCTCCAGCGATGACAGAGACTCATTTCGAAGAGGGTTGTACTTCGGCTTGGGGGGTAGAAGATCCATGGCTGGGGTGAGAAGGGGGGCTGCTGCCTGGCCCCCCTGCCAAATTCAGGCAAGGGGGCCAGGCAGGGGGCATCCCCAGGCCCTTAGCCTGATCTGACCTCTGCAGCCTGGTGATAACAAGAGGACCTAGGGAGGCGAAGGACAAGTGGCCTCTGCTCTCCCACGTCAGACATAGACAATTTCAGGCCACATCCTTGCCCAGCCCAGCGAGGAAGCCTCTTCTGGCTGAGGAGTACAGGCTGGACCCAGAGCTAACTGGCTCCTCCCCAGGGGCGGGGAAGTAGGAAGCGAGACCAATCCCAAGGACAGTGCTGACTCACAAGCTCAGAGGGGCCGAGACACCTCCCCACACAAGCCAGCCTCTCTCCCTTGCCCAATACAAACAACTAGTAGTCTGTCTGGGGAGGAGAAAGGTGCCGTAGGAAAGAAAGATGTCAGAACAAGAAAAAGACAAAAAAGAAAGTAAGGGGTTAAGAGGAACTCTGGATCAATCCAAACCAACACGGGCAAGCAGAGAGCGCAGGAAGCCAGGAAGGCTAGGAGGAATAAAGGAGGAAACAAGCTGCTAAGGGAAAAGGGGGAGGAGGGTCCCAGAGTTTAGCATTTCCCTACAGCCCGGACCATCCCCACCCCCACCATACAATGAGTGAGGTGGCTGGCTGCCCCAGGGAACCTGGCCATTAGCATCCTCAGCCACTACAGCTGTGGACAGAGTTGGGAACCAGGAAGGGAAAGTAGTCCCAGAAGATGTAGGTGGAGGCCATGAGGGAAGGCCAATCAGGGTGGTGCAAGAGCTAGAGCAAGCCTGTGTTCTTCACAGCTGTCACCCACCAAAGACTAACGGACGTCTTGGAGCCCTTTCCACAGGCCCAGTGAGGAAAGCCAGGCGATAGAGAGGGATCAGGTTAGTACCCCTTGGCCACAGCTTACTTCTCTCCTTGTAAGCCCCACCCAACAGTGTCCCTCACACGAGCAGGGGGGCTGGCCTTGGAGGCAGGAAAATGAACGGAACGGAACGGGTGCCTGCAGGCCACAAAGCTGTGTTAGTAAAGACAGGAAGGACAAGGGATACCAGAAGCTGGGGTCTGGCCCTAAGTGCAGAATAACACCAAAGCCATATTTCTTTCCCCAGTTTCCTGCCACAGCTCTGCTAAAGGCCATCAGGAAGTTAAAGAAAGTGACCAAGCTCCAGAATAAACTATCACTTATTTAAAAAAAAAAAAAGTGAGGAAATACAAAAAGTAAAAAATAGTTTCTTAGAGGCTTACCTCCAAACTCCTCTGAGGTTTATTTTGGAGAATTAAAAACTTCATGACTAACAAGGCCAGTACTCTAAAGAGGTTAGCTACCAAGCTTCCCGTCACCTGCCCAGTCCTCAAGCCCAGGAAAGCTGCCACCAAACACCACACCGCTTCCTGACAAGAAATTCTGTCATTCCGTTAGCCAAGACCTCAGCTCTTAGACAGGAGGAAAATTTCCGTCAAAGCCAGACACACAAACACACACCATGATGTCCTCATCTTGAGATGGCTTTCTCTGAAGCTTTCATATCTAGAGGCAGGGAATCACCAATCGTGTGCACATTTGGAAGACGAGGAAGCATGAGCCTTTAAATTTGTTTCAAGAGATGGGAGACTGCCTAATGGACCAAAGCTAGGTAGCAGCGACTTGGCGGGGTGGGGGGGACGACACAGCCACGTTTTGCACCTCAGCCCAGCAGGGAGGAGGAGGCTGGAGGAGCAGGAAATAGCAGGAAATGGCGAAAACCTCAGGAATGTTTCCAACAGGGAAGGTTGGGCAAGTGCGGCCAGGATGAATCCAAACGAGAGTTATCTGGTTATGGGGAGGGGTCTTTTAAAAACAACGGAAAGGACACTAACCCCTACTCCTGACTCCGAAACACTTTTTCTTCTGATGGCAGAAAAATTTTCACTCCTCTTAACGTCACACGAGTCCATACTTAGTCCAGTCCAGTCAGAGGAACACCTACGGCTGTCTCAGGAACAGGGTCTGCCCCAGGAAGGAGTGGGGTCAGGGGTCTCTTAAGCCACCCTCTCGTCCATTCTCCTGCCATAAACGAAACCCAGCCCATCAACTTAATACACAGCCAGAGAAGGTGACGCGGGAAACGACACTGCTAATCAGCTTACAACCGCAACTTTCAACCTCCACCTGACGGAGCACGAGAACAGGAAAACTAAGTCCAAGGCTTAAAGAAAGGAGAGGATAGAGGCAGGTGAAGCGTCCGGAACCTAAGAGCAGGGTTTTGAGGCATGGACCGAAGCCCAGCAGGGAAAAGTATCCCGAGGGGACCTGGTCCCTAGGGAGTGCACCACATTCCCAGGACCAGACGTGGACGGTGAAGGGGCGGGGCGCGGAGGGGGCGGGGCCCACACAGGCGTCGCTCCTACAAAGCCGAACCGTTCTTTGAAAAGCGAGCTTTTGCCCCCTCGGGAAGCCAGGTTTCGATAGGCTACGTATAGGCGAGACTCCAGAGAAGGCAGTTTCAGATAGCTGTAAACTAATCTCGTGCAGCCAGGAAAACCTGTCTAGGGGTGGGATTTCCAGGAATGTGGGACGACAGGGTGTGGTCCGACAGTAAGAGACAAGACGGGGTTCGGGGAGCCCCTAGAAGTTGGAAGGGGGACTTCCGGGGAGGGGGTCTCGGGGGCGGGACTTGTACAACAAGACCGGAAGTAGGGTCCTGGGAGAGGGGTTCCGGGGTAGAGGAGTGGGTCGCCACAGGGAGAAAGTCGACACTCACCAGGGTCGCATGGAGTCTCCGCACCGGACCGCGGGCCGATCTGGTTCCGGATCACGTAACTGTCGGCTTAAGTCACTGCACCAACTTTCTCCCCCGGCCTCGGCCTCCCCAGACAAACTTTATTACACTCACTTCCGGCCTCACTAACCCCTGACCCCCTACCTCGCCGTCCCTCCTTTACTCGTCTGCTTTCCAAAGCCGGCCAATGGCTGCGCGGGCAGGCGCACGGGCTCCGTGGGAGCCAATAAGATTCCTAATTTCGACCCAGCTCATTCTTCAGAAACCAGAGCACTGCACTTCATTTACGAATCGTGGAGACGCCAAGGCCATCCAATCGGAGACTTTAGGATGGAGCTGTCCCGCCTTTGGCCGAAGAGACCAATAGCAAGTGCAGGCGGTGTGTTTGAAAGCGGGGCCAAAGAGGGTGGGAGCGCGTGCTGCTGGGAGTTGTCTGCAGGCCAGCAGCGCGGGGCTGGGCGCCCTCGGGCAGAGCAGTCATGTCGCACAAACAGATTTACTATTCGGACAAATACGACGACGAGGAGTTCGAGTACCGGTTAGTGCCGGCGCGGGGACTACAGCCAGGTCGTTCGATTTGACGAAAGAGTGCACGCGAGGAGTTAGTGACCTAGGGCGGAGGGTGGGGGAGAGCGGTGCAGAACCGGCGCGTGCGCAAGAGGGTTTTTTTGGGGGGGGGCGCGGCCGTAGCAAAGCGCATGCGCGGAAAGGTAAACGGAGGCCGTAAAACAATGGAAGGAAATCTGGAGTTGGCCGGGTGTTAAATAGAAGCGTGTTGGAGTTCTGATCAGTTTCACCTTTGGAATGTTCACATCAGTCTCACAACTTTGTTTCAGGTTAATTTTTCTAATAGGAAGTGATCGCTTCCAAAGTCTACTGGGATAAAGAAAGTAGCCAAAGCGGAACTGGAAATTTTGTGCTCAATGAAAAAGGACAGTGCTGTGAGAGCTTCGGTGTTGTTACTTTATGAGAAAAGAGCAGGAGCGTGGTTGTCAGCCTTGTTTTAGATAGAGGCATGAAGACTGGACGTAGCTCAACTACTTGAGCATTTATGGTGTGCAGACAGGTTACAAGTGTTCTGTTAAGGTGCAAGGTTAGCCAGTACGATAGCTCACACCTTTGTTCTCAGCATTCTGGAAGTAAGGCTGCAACATTGTCACAAGTTCCAGGCGGCTTGGGCTGCAGAATGGGAACCCTGTCTCGAGACAGCAGAGTGGTCAGTGACGGACCTAAAAATCCATGGACTAAGCTGACTCAACTTGGGCCAGCTGAGTACGAGTGTGAGGAGAGCATGCGATGAAGGGGGACGGTTGAGGAAACGTTGCTAGAGGAGACCCTGAGAACACAGGGAAGAGAAACAACGGTGAGACAGAGTCTAAGATGCTGGCTCTCTGCCAAAGACTGTGAGACATCCTTGCACTGAATGTGCAAACTTTGGGTGTGATAGTACCAAGTCCATGAATTTAAGTTGAGACTGAGAGAATATGAGATTCTACCAAGGTTGATATTACACTGGTCTGTATCGCTTGTAATGTTTATTTTTTTATATATACAGTATTCTGGCATGGAGGGCACCAGATCTCATTACAGGTGGTTGTGCAATAATGTGGTTGTTGGGAATTGAACTCAGGACCTCTGGGAAGCAGCCTGTGCTCTTAACCTCTGAGCCATCTCTCCAGCCCTCGCTTTTCCTAATATGTATCTGCGTTCCTTGACTAGCTTTCCTGCATTCTTCACCTGTCCTGTACCAGGACTTTGGGCGCCCTGGAAAATTGGTGTGTATTGACAAATATGTAACAATCTTTTTTGGCAAGAAAAATCCCACACCATTTTACTGACATCACCTGGATCTCAGAAGCTAGGCAGGGTCAGGCTGGCTGCTTACTTGGAGGGGATAAACAGCTACGTCCTTGGAGCTTGTTAACTTTTGTTCTCAGCTGTTTTCTGTGCCTGTGAATGAAACATCATACTTACAACATTTACATGGTTGGGAAGAAATCAGTAGCTTCATCCCCAAGAAGATGTCACTTTTAGCTTAGCAGCCGCGTTTTTGCTCAAAGGAGGGCTGTTTGTTTGTTTTTTTGGGGGGGTCCTGTGCATTGAAGTCACGTTTTGTGCCAAGGACTTGATAGAGTGTAAATTCTCTGACATTAGACTAGAATTACGGGGTGGGGACTCTTGTTATTACTACAAAGGTAGCATTTAGTACATTTTCATCAAGATTGAGAAACTCTACCTGAGGTAGTCTGAGTCGAGTTGGATTTTTTTTTTTTTTACCATTGACCTTGGTTAGGAAAGCACGCGATTTCCCAAGTGTCACAGCAAATCCCTTAACAGCTGGGCAGTGGTGGTGCATGGCACTCCAGAACCAGAGGCAGGCAGATCTCTGAGTCAGAGGCTAGCCTGGCCTCTACAAATTGAGTTCCAGGACTGTTACACAGGGAACCCTGTCCCAAAAAGTAGGGGGAAAGTGTTGGAAACTGAATTCGATGTGAACATTTTTATGTTTTCTCTATGCCTGCTCTACACCCCACACCATAGTAGACTGTTCCTCTCCACACTGGAGCTTCTTCCTGACCAGTCATAGAGTGGGTAAGATGGGTACTCAGAGAAAACACAAATATCATCAGGGGCTGATATCCAGGTATGCATTCAAACTGTCCATTAATTTTGTTTTTAATATTCTCTTATAAAAATTTACAAAACCTGTGTTTCTAGCTGCCTCTACTACACAATATCCACAATAAGATTTATACAGGCTGGAGAGATGGCTCAGAGGTTAAGAGCACTGGCTGCTCTTCCAGAGAGGTCCTGAGTTCAATTCCCAGCAACCACATGGTGGCTCACAACCATCTATAATGAGATCTGGTGCTCTCTTCTGGCAAGCAAGCACACATGGAAGGAATGTTGTATACATAATAAATA